ACTGTTAGGTAGGTTTTCAAGATTAAGGCTTAAGGTCTTGAGCTGAGGTTAGGATTAGAGTTAAATTTAAGATCAGAAGTTAGGATTATGCTAGAGTTGGGAGTAGTTAGGAGAAAAGTGTCAGAAATATCAATGGATCTCAAAGCACTGTAGTGCACCTTCAAAGATTTCAGTTTTTGTTTCAGTTTGTCCTTGTAATATTGGCGCTTGTTTGTCTGGACGCACGCTCCCTTGCCGTGCTACAAACGCTCAGTCTTCGAGCCTGCTAGTCCGCATCACTCCAGATAAGTTGTGCAATATTCTTATTTATTAAATTTGACATTTCATCTGTGGTAAAAATTGTAATTCTTATAAGGGCACACTACCAAATGACACAAGCCATTTCACTTCGAGTTCATTAAATGGTACTTACAAGTTAGGTGGATTACTGACTGGGTTATTAAATGAAGTTTTAAGCAAGTGCAGTTAATTAAAGTCTATCTCAATTGCAAGCTAGCTACTTGCAATTGGTGAACCCCACACTGACTTATCTCCATCATCTCGGCCCAACAGTTTCACTCCAATTATTTTGTTTCTCTTGTTGTCTCGTTCTCGTTTTTACTTCGCCCAGTTTCATCACTGCTTTTGTATTGGTGTTATTTTGTTTTGCATTGTTTGTATACGTTGCCTTGCCTAGCTACTTACAGTGCCATGACCTACAGTCACCTGGATGACTGGGTATGTCGCACGATTTCACCACAGACCATCTGTGTATTGACTGGGACATATTCATACAACACATGAGCTACATCCATGCGGTATGATATCAATTTTTTAATATCTCTTGGTGTATTTCTCACGAATTGTGCGATATTTCTGCATTTGCGTTCTGATCGGTTATACAAAGTCACTGTGGTTTCGACTATGATACTTCAACTTCGGCGTTCGAAGATCTCGCCTTATTCATTTGGTTCGGATTGCGGGAGACAAATGCTATCTGTGTCAGTCGATAATCACCCCCACCTAGTTCAATCAATGTACGTAGTAAGAGTCAGTAGTGAATGTTGCACTACCTTAGTGCACAAGACTCCTTACAGCTTGTTTATCCTTCAGTGGACGTGAGAAGTAAGACAACTGTAGCTAAGTTTAATACAGGTAACTTCATACTGGTCTTGAACAAGGAGGAGAGACATGTGAACCTATGAAAATACCAACGGTTAGCATATAGAAACCTAAAGAACAGGAGCCGCATCTCCCAACTCCAATGAATATGGTACTAGTACACAATAAACGAATAACACTAACGGGAATCGGCATGCACTCTTTATTTGCTCACTCGATATCAGAGTAGGACAGTTTCTGACTGAAAACATGAGATTTATTCTACCACATTATACAAAATGATCGTTAAAGTATTCAAAGCTTTGTAAAGTATTAAGGTGAGGTTTCTACATATCATGCTAAAAATAATAGTATTAATCTTATTTGCCCATTTGTTTCGTTTATTTTTGGACTCCTTTTATCGCAAATGTTACGTTTATTGCTCTGTTTTCTTGGGCGTCGATCGAAGTGTTTTGCGTTCCGTCTATCTGTGGGGACGGTTCATTATGTTTGTAGACTCTAGGAATGTCGCATTTTGTGGTCTAATCGTTTCATTTCCAACTTTGTCAGCATCCAGAGTCCACTTGTTCTCCTGCATAATTGTTTGTAATCACTGCAACTAAGACGCCGAGCCGCGCTTTTCAGGGGTGCTGGTTTTTGGCGGATTTAATGTGAGCAGATTCATTTTCATAGAAAGATTTCTTCTACTGGGGATGTTCAGTTCTGGCGCGTTTCCAGGAGTGAACAATTCCCCTATCCCCAGTAGAAGAAGTCTTTCTATGAAAATGAATCTGCTCACATTAAATCCGCCAAAAACCAGCACCCCTGAAAAGCGCGGCTCGGCGTCTTAGTTGCAGTGATTACAAACAATTATGCAGGAGAACAAGTGGACTCTGGACGCTGACAAAGTTGGAAATGAAACGATTAGACCACAAAATGCGACATATGACCATTCCTAGAGTCTACAAACATAATGAACCGTCCCCACAGATAGACGGAACGCAAAACACTTCGATCGATGTCCAAGAAAAAAGAGCAATAAACGTAACATTTGCGATAAAAGGAGTCCAAAAATAAACGAAACAAATGGGCAAATAAGATTAATACTATTATTTTTAGCATGATATGTAGAAACCTCACCTTAATACTTTACAAAGCTTTGAATACTTTAACGATCATTTTGTATAATGTGGTAGAATAAATCTCATGTTTTCAGTCAGAAACTGTCCTACTCTGATATCGAGTGAGCAAATAAAGAGTGCATGCCGATTCCCGTTAGTGTTATTCGTTTATTGTGTACTAGTACCATATTCATTGGAGTTGGGAGATGCGGCTCCTGTTCTTTAGGTTTCTATATGCTAACCGTTGGTATTTTCATAGGTTCACATGTCTCTCCTCCTTGTTCAAGACCAGTATGAAGTTACCTGTATTAAACTTAGCTACAGTTGTCTTACTTCTCACGTCCACTGAAGGATAAACAAGCTGTAAGGAGTCTAGTGCTCCGTGTCAGAACTTCATCATCGATTGGCAGGATACAACAGGTGATGAAGGAAGGGCTGTTTCATCGTAGATCAGAGAAACTCAACGGTGTTAAAATGCAATTGTAGCCATATGTTCTGTGCATTCATTTCATACTTAAATGTCAAGGGAATAAGTTCGGCAGGTAGTTAAAACTTGTAGTCCATTAGAGTAGTTGACGTTTTGTTAATCTTAAAACGTTTTTGTGGAAGGTGGTGAGCATTCTTTCAAAGCACCTACATGAATGAATTGCATTGCCTCCCACGTGTTTAGGGTTATCAGTATCTATATGAAAATCGGATTATTTTAGATAATTTATAATGATTCAGTCTGATTGGGTGCTCGAATTATTACAGACAATTTGTGACATCTACGGTCTGGAAACTCATAAGCACCAAGGTAGTGCAACATTCACTACTGACTCTTACTACGTACATTGATTGAGCTAGGTGGGGGTGGACATCGACTGACACGTATGGCATATGTCATTTGCATTTTGAACCCTCGGTTCTGTTCCACTTTGAGGAGTGTTAGCTTACATAGGATTGGGGTGGAAAAGAATTAGAGATAGTGTGAGGCTACAACACGGCACCCATCGATGAAGACATTGTTTGTTGTTCTGAGCCATCTTGTAAGGTGTAGCTTGTATGGCTAGAGACATTTCTAATAAACAAAGTAATATGGAATTGCATACTACCACAATGACCAAGTTTTACGCATATGTTTTTAATTGTAATGTGAAGACGTAGTTCACTGACTTAAACACCTGACTTTCTGCCAATGAGTGCTCTGTTCGAATTCTACTCCACCTTGACAGCTAGGTAGAGTCATTAGCTCTGACCTAATAAGTGTAACAGAAATTATTGTGTACACGAAGATGCTCTTCCCGGAGTTACTGACTTACCTATAAATAGTACAGTCAATGAAACAGGTGGTATGGTAAAGGCTTAATTGGTTCACTTCATGTTTAAAGTTAAATTCGAACTGTTTCCATAGCAGATTGTAAAACCACATCTCAGAGCGATTGAATTTGGGAACTCTTTATTCAGAGAAATTTATTTTACCGTTTCATGCGGAAGGACGAAGTAAAATGTAACAGTTTGAAACACTTCATTACATTTAGCATCTTTTGACTGGGGTTTGATTCCTGTATAATTTTGAGAGATGATGATGAATACATAAGTGGTTACATCTTAAAAATGTCTCACTCTAAGACGACTAGTTCTGTGTAATTTTTAATACAGTTTAGAGTAAAAAACGAATCAGAAGCAGACAATCGATACAATTTATGCATTCTTCGAAAGTGGCAATAAAATTTCAAAACTCCCAATTTGTACAATAATTAAAACTTTATTGCACCGAAAGACAAATTGCTGATATAATGAAACAGAAAATGTCATATAAATTCAAATTATTTAGAAATGAAGTTATTACCTCCATCTCTTGAGACTTGTTTTCCAGTCTACTTGGAAGATTATCGTTTGCCATTAGGAGATTTTTTACTTTCTCCAGCAAAACAGCGATACATGGTTTGGAATGTGAATTGTAGTCTATTGATGATATATTTGATTTACTGACATCACATTTTAATGTACTAGCAAATCATTTATTTCTGTTTTTGCTGTTTCACTCAACTGCAATTCCCCTGGTAATTATCCTCTTTGATTCCCAAACAGCTCTTTCTTGATTCAATCTCGGTTCAAGCTACAAAAATGGAAATAGTCTGGCGAAGAAGCCATTAATGTTCGTAAATAATGAGGAAAAATATATACAACTCAAGACTTTAGCTACTTGTGCTGTAACTGATTAGTCTTCTTGTGATGCTATGCATATTTTGTGTGAAACAAATATTTTTTTATCCTGAGAACCACAATCTATGTAACATTACACCATACATTATCACATAGCACTATCTGGAATATTCTGAAGTTTTAACTACCCAATAAACTTCTGCAAACCTTCGCCAAATTGTTCGTATATCATGAAATCTACGTTGAAACACATCAGTTGAAGACAATCACGAATCTATTGGCGTAGTACTTGATTAACTGAAAGATTGTTGTAACCATCAACGCAAACTTCTATTACCGTAGATTTAAATACCAAAAGCATTGGGAACACTTATTTGTTGATGAGTAGTATAGCAGGAGAAACATCTATCCGGAGTTACTGAACATTTGTTGTGGTGTTTTACTTCATAATTAATGCTTTGAAGCAATCTGGAATGCCTTCAAATGGGAAATTAAACTGATAACGTGTTAATGGATTACTTAAGTTATCGACAACATTAGTTTTTTCAACCTAAATTATTCTATCATTCTACTAAAAATAGTGAAATAATGAACAAACCATCTCTCCATAAAGGTCAAACCAACTATACCACTACAACTCACCTCATAGGATTATTTACTGACATGCAGCTGAACATTAAGCCTTTCAATCTCTAGAGATGCATCTTTCGTAGCAGCTTGTTCTATTTGTAAATTCATCAACACTGATCTCATTTGTTCACGTAATTGATTATCGTGTTTCTTATTTAAGACTTGCATTTCTTCAACTTTTTCTCTTAACTGTTTCAACGTACATTCTTTTTGTTCTAACTGTGTTTTTAATTTAGCACATTCACATATGGCATTTTCTTTTTGCTCTCGAAGTATGTTGATTTCTTGATCAATCGACTGACAATTTGATAATAATATAAAAACGGTGGATAATGTGTGGTTCATACTGGTTTGACGCAACAAATGTAAGAATGATTGCATTGCGTAAAATAGTGCAACGGGTGTGCAAACGATAAATCAGTATTATGATATCCATCAGGTCACATTCTGTGATCTGAATACTTCTTACTTCCGAACTGTGTAATTTTCAAGTGAAGAATTCTATTCGATGTATTACGGGTTAGTGCGTTTTCAACTGATTCAGCTCCCTGAGTAGAGCTGAACAGACTACACCACTGATGAAGTTAGCTGGATAAAAATGAAATAGCTGTTCAGTCATTAGATCACTTTAATCTGTCTGGAAACAAATACTGTTTGGTGTGAGTGGTATTCAGCTACTTATATGAACCAGTGGTATATACCAAATTTTCACTTCATTTAAATGAGAGATTTGGGTTGAGTTTCGTGGCCAGAGTGGAACTACAATCATCTACCTGTGAACTTTGTCGGAGACAATTTTAGTCCTACAATAGTTCAAGACATTAAGGGAACTCTTAACTCAAACCTGCTTCATTCAGTATTAGAGTGAGAAACCATATCGTCGGGTTGATACAGAAGTAGATCGGACAACGTTAGCTGGTTGTGACCCGAAGAGAGAGAAGAGGGAAGGTCAGGCGTGAGGCTAGCAATCCCACCATGTAAAAACCACCAGTGGTACAGGAACTTCAAAGTTGAAGCTGGAAACCGTGTCCTTTTCGGAACGCAAAAGGAATAAAGTAAATAGTAATAAATAAAATTGAGGTTCTGTATGGGTATTTCAATTATTCATCATCTTGCACAATCATTCCTCCCTTAGTGATAGGATCACGATTTTCAATATTATGGTTCAATGAGACATGCGAAAATCGTCCTCCAAATAAGAGTTTTCAGACGGCACCTCACCAGGTCAAATTGAACTGAGATAATTGTCTCCTCTAATATTGTGGAGGAGTGCATAAAAATCCATTGCAGCGCCAAATTCGCTTGCGCTAAGATCGATGACAATGCTTATACATGAACAACACAGCGACACTATAACGTACCAAATATGATTCCTGTTGTGCTACCATAGTAGATCCAGCTCAGGAGGGCTTCGTGTGCTTTTGGAGGTGTGTGGGCGGTTGTTACTTCCCGGCTGCCCACACCGTGGAAGTTGATAAATTCTTCGGGTACCTGAAACAGCGAGAGGGTTATTGTTGCGTTACCGCAGAGCCCAAGGGACAACTGCTTGAGGCCGGTCACACACGGCCTGTATGAACTGGTTTCTGGGATTGGTTCCGTATTGGTGAATCTACCGCCGTTTACGGACCACCGTAGGGTGAATCGAGACATACAATTGTTTGGGTCGACGTTTTCCAACCCCTCCCTCCAGGGTGGGGAGACAGCATAGCTGTGATGCTGGCCATCTGAGGGAAACACCTCACTGTCGTCACATCCCTGTTCCCCATCAGTACGACTTCGCCCTCAGACCCCCAGCATAGGGTGAAAAAATTCTTACACTATGCCGGTAACTGCTTTTAGTCTAATCGCTATCCTAACAACCCTCCTGGCATGGTAGGATCTGCAGGAACATTTGTTTCAGTCAGTGTAGCTTGTTGGGTCGTCGCGATGTGTAAGCCCGACTACCACACCAAGGTAGTAGCTATCGGTAAATCCACGTTTTCACGTTCTCCTACTTGCTAACGCCATACACGGCCAAAGACGAACAACGTTGTATTCAGAAGGACAACTGGAAACTTAGAAAGATGTATTGTTAACGAAATCAGATATCAAAGAGCTCAAGGCGAACGCAAAATTGTATGACAGTGTAAAATAGGTATGTAACAAACTAAAAGCAGTGTTCAATAACACAACGGCAAATATTCCGCAGGCACATGTAAAATTAGTTTCTATAAACGTATTATATGGGCATGTGAATCAGTTTTATAAGCGTACAGCTAGGCTTAATATAGGGTCGTTACAACACAACGTTTATTGACTCGAGTGCCAGCGACACTTTCTATGTATCATTAAAATAGAAAGTGAATGTTACTAGTAATGGGCCTACGATGCCCACATTTCTCGTGAAATTAAACCGGATAAAGCTTCTTGAAACTTATTTTTATGATTAAGTGCTTATAATTAAAGCTAATTAATCACTGATTTTCCGTAACAAGCATCAGGGAAATGAGGTGAAGAATAAAAATCCTTGTCTGTTAATAATAATATGTTCTTATTTTGTACATGAGGGACGCCAGTTTACAGGCATCATCAATATGATAAATTACATATACGATTAGCAATCATACTTAATAATGTTTTAATAAAATACATATTTTCTCCTACCTGTGTCGAATACACCAAATGTACAGGCATGGATAAGCATTATATAGATTTCATAAATTTGGTTTATGGTTAAATTACATGGTTGCTGACGTTTTTGTCATTGGTTTGTGGGAACAATATGATCACCAGTCATTCAATGGAACACATCATGAGATATAGGAATATTGACTTCGCATTAACAAAAAACCCAAGTAACTTTTGGATGGATTAAAAATATTTGAGAAAAAATAAAGCTTGAAGTAATTCCCCAATATAACTTAGGTGTGTACAAGTCCGAATCTCATTTTTGATTCATATCCGAATTGGGTAATAAGAAAGCTATTTTTACAGATACGATCAGTTATGTTATAAGTTACAATCGTGACGTTGTATTACAAATTGATACTTTTCCATTGGTATAAGAGTATATTCCACAAATGTAATCCAGGTTGCGTCGTGGGGAAAGTCAATTCGTTATTAACTAGGCAACTGAAAGATATGGGACAAATAATGTTTGCAGATCATTTTTCATTGTGGATGGTCAAATATCCACACACGTCATTCTCATTCAAAAAGTCCAATGGAAGCCAAAATGGTGAGAGTAAAAAGAAGAGAAACAACAGCAAAGCAAAAGAAAGCAAGAGGAGTCCTTAAGGAGTGATTAATAGATATATACATATATATTCTGTCTAGTAACTATGCTTATTTTTGTGCACTAACTAACTAGTCCCGTTATGCTAACTTTCACATTATGTGTAAACTAATATTACTGTCCTGTGTAGAAATGTTTATCATCTAGTTCCAATAATATTAAAATCTATAATTGTAGTTTGTTGCAACTACACGTTTAATGAACTCAAAATATCTATGTAGGGTGAAAAAGAGGGTATAAGAGTCAAACGTAGAAGTGCATTGTCATCTTTGAGCAGTCTGGTGACTGAGAAGATGAACACTGGAAGTGTGTTTGCATCGCGTACATTAGCTGGTAGTCTATTCCAAATGACTGAAAACTTACTCAAGAAGAAGTTGTACCTCATGTAAGTCTGACAATGCTCTGTATCACCTAGGTTGTGATGATTTCTAAGATTGTGGCTGATGACAGCGTTAGGTTTAGTTATTGGCTCGGAGAAATGCAAGAGAAGATTAGTTAGCTTGTAGTAAAAGATAAGGTTTAGCTTAAGACGTCTTTTCCAGAGGGGTTCTAATCTTAGTCTTTCGCATCGCTCATGGTATTCCAGACCACTTTCTAAACCAAGAGTTCTTGAGGTAAACTGCCGTTGCACTCCCTCTAATTTAAGCCTGTCATTTTGTCTGAGTCCGCTAAGAATAAACGGGCAGTATTCTATGATAGGTCGGACACATACTTTGTATAATAAAACCCTAGTTTCACAACAAAAGAAATTGCGTGTTATGCATCCTATCAGCCTTCGCGTTTTACGTCTGGCATAATCAGTCTGTTCAGCGAACGTTAGGTTACTAGAGTATCTAATACCGAGATCTACGACTGAGTTGAGCTTAGCTAGTTTTTGCCCATTTATTTCAAGAGTTTAATCAAGGTTACTGTTTCCGATACAAATCCAGCCGCATTTGTCAATGTTAAAGTTCAGACAGGATTCAGCACACCATGTTGAGAGACTACTTAGTTCAAGATGCATTTTAGTAACCATATCGCTTAATTCATGAGTGTAGCAGGAGTAGACGACTTTGAGGTCGTCAGCATATAGGAATGGTTTACTTGAGGTGAAGCACGTGCAAATGCTGTTAATGTAGACTGTGAATAAAAGTGGACCTAGGACACTACCTTGCACAACCCCACTTGAGATCTGCCTAGGATGAGACAATACAGATCCAACTTTGGTTATTTGTACCCTGTTGCTTAGAGAAGATTTTAACCAGTTCAGTAATGGGTTGCGAATTCCACAAGAGTACAGCTTCTCAAAGAGAATACAGTGAGATACCATGTCAAATACCCTAGATATATCGAAGTAGAGAACAATGACTAGCTTGAGTGCTTCGCGACTACTAGTGATGCAGTTGAAAAAGTCGAAGTGGCAAGTAACGCAGGATCTATTTTTGAGAAATCCGTGTTGAGACCTTGTAACAAGATCTTCCCTAAGTAGGTAGTCTGACAATTGATCGTTTACAACTTTCTCCATGATTCGTGAGATAACTGGGGTTATATTTATGGGTCTGTAATTCCGGACGTTTGCCTTATCACCAGATTTGTAATGTGGAATTATGAAGCTAGTTTTCCAATCACTAATGTAAGTGCCAGTGTCCATAGATATTGAGAAGAATTTAAGAAGTAACAGGGGTATATAACACCCACTGTTTTTGAAAATTATCGAAGCGAGGCCATCCGGTCCCGTACTAGTGGAAGGTTTAAGGCTTTTAATTGCTTGTAATATTGATTAATTAGTGAACACAATGCTTTCAAGGGAAGAGCTAGTAAGGGGGGCGGTTTCGCCAGGCATACGTGTTTCTAAACTTAAGTTTGCAAACCAATCACTGAAAAGTTCACAGATAGTGGCAGGCTCATTGTAGATTACTTTGTCGTGAAGTAAGTAGGGGATTTCCCTCGTCGACTGCATTCGTTTTATAATAATATATATTTCTTCCTGTTTATGCAGGAACATACCAATTGTACAGGCATGGATAAGTTATTATATAAATTACACAAAATTTGATGTATAATGGATTTACAGTTTGGTTGTTCTTTCTGAAATCAAAGTCAGTCGGAACAGTCTGCCATAAAGTTTGTTTGTGTAGCACATAAAGAGATATGGAAATATTGTCTTCGCATTAACAAAAAACCCAGACATCAGATGAATGTAATACAAATATCTGGGAAAAATAAAGCTTGAAGTCAATTCTCCTATATAACTTTGTTGTGAACAACACCCTTGGCTTAAAGATTATTGATGTATTATGTTGAGATCAGTGATATATTTATTCCATTTTTCAGTAGTCTTATCGTAGTTTTATAACAGGAAAGAAATTTGATCGTGGATACGAAAACTAGATGAGGTCATGTTGGGTTGTTTTACTGCATCAAATGGTGTCGAGGTCGATTCCAGAATTCTCCATTTGCTCCATTTGTGTCTGCATGGCGGACTGTATTCGTAAGTTGAGTAAAATGTTGAAAAACTATTTGAAGACCATTTGCTTCTTCATTTCAGATCATGAATACTCATTTACAGCATGTTCGCCAGCGTCTTTGAATGGTAGAATTGGATCGTTCCTGGAATTTGAGTGGTTATGAGATAGACGGTTTGGAATTAATCCCCATTTCAGTTTAGATGCAGGGTTGTTCGACCTCGACCAGAAGATGAATAGGAGCAGCAAAATACCAGAAAGAGAAAGTATGTGAACATGGGAAGGACATTTATATATTATGCATTTATAAATGTTTATCTTAATTGTATATTATACTTAAGTAAACATTTTTCTATATTGTATCTGTTTTCACGTATTTATGCGAAGTCTTAGAGTTTATTTAATGTCATAATGTGTATTAATGGGTCTGAGCGTTTTAGTGTTCTAATGACTGATGCGTTTTAGAAATAAGTGATGGGTTCTGGTAGGGATAGTCATTTGGACAAAACAGTTTATATAGCAAGCGTTTGAAGGTTACAATGAGGGATAGGTCCTATTTCTAAGGGTAAACTAATCCTGTATGTTCCGTATTATGTCTTTATGCATCCATGCTGCTAGTTTATTTATAGTTTAAAGATTGCTAAGGGTGTTGAAGTGCGTCTTTTAGGTGCTGTAGTAGATTAGTGCTTGATTCGTTCTAGGAGTAAATATTTTATTAATATAATCAGTAGAGTGAAACAGTCTGTATAGAGAGCGTTTGAAGCTTGTAACCGAAGAGCAAGTTCTGACATCTAGGGGTAGGCTATTCCTTATTTTAGAATACATGACTGTGAAGAAGTTTTCACGGAGTGTTGACTTAAAAGAATGAGTTGTCACTGTGGAAGTTTGGTTACGCAGATCGTAAGAACCTTCCTGTGCGAATTGTATGTCCCTGTTACCTGAGAATGATATTTTGTGAAGGACCTTAAAGAAGAATATTAGGTTTATAATAAGTCGCCTTGTCCAAAGTGGGTCAAGTTTTAGGATCATGCACCGTGAGATGTAGTCTTTCTTACAATCGTAGCCAAGGGAAGAGCTAGTAAGGGGGGCGGTTTCGCCAGGCATACGTGTTTCTAAACTTAAGTTTGCAAACCAATCACTGAAAAGTTCACAGATAGTGGCAGGCTCATTGTAGATTACTTTGTCGTTAAGTAAGTAGGGGATTTCCCTCGCCGACTGCATTCGTTTTTTAAGAAGTGCCGTTAAGTTATAAGCTTTGGAGGTACTTTGAAGTGCCGTTAACTCTTCGTCAAGGTCCTTTTGAGAGCGTAGGCGCTTGATAGATTCAAGAGTCTCGTGGATTGAGAGCAGTAGTGATATATCCTTAGTGGAATAGTACTGTTTCTTCAGCTTCCTTAACTTATTACGGCGTGCCCTTGGAGTATATTCAGCTCGGTGTCTACTTAATTTTACTATTTTCTTTGGAGCAACTGTATCTAGACAAAGGGTAACATTCCTGTAAAATGGGGTTACTACGGCCTCCAGGGAGTCAGTGGTAAAATAGTCATCCCATTGACAGAATCGAATAAGTTCTTGGACTAATCCCCAGTCTGTATACTTGTAACTACGACATATTGTGCTTCCTGAATCTTGTTTTTTCCTGTATTTAGTGGTGAGAAAGGCAGAGAGCAGAGTAACGTTCTGTGGTCACTGCTGGAAAATCTACTACCAACATAGGTGGAGACTGGGATTGTGTCATAACAAAACACAAGGTCGAACATGTTGTCACCACGTGTAGGTATCTCTGGACGTGTTGTTGCCATCCATAGCAATCGATAATGGCAAGTAATTCATCGAGGCGTTGGGGTCCAGAACTACTTAACCAACTGACTTCTGGAAGATTTGTAAGTGTTGAAGCTAGACTTAAGATAGTCTTCGATATCACCACACTTACTAAAAACTTCACCGTCTTATGACTTTACGAGTACTCTACCTAACGTGTAAGTACTGATTAACTCAATCAAAGTTTAAAAGCTAACAATAGAAAGAATTCTTAGTATGAGTTGTATTTAACGTAACTAAATAACAGATTTAATAAATAAAGTGACTGTACAACTTAGCTGCAGACGTTACTGGAGGTAGGCTCGGAGAGTGTGCAGAAAGAGAGCACAACAAGAGAGCGAACCAATGAACGTACGGAAGACTCACAACTCAAAAGCTAAAACGTGGATCACCGTGGGTGAGTCAGTTTAAACAAAAGTTCAAAGGTACAATGTGCACTACAGGTTATCCCCCCCTAGAAGGTTGGTGGGAAGCCAGCAAGCTTCGATATACAACAGTAGGATGGCTTGGCACAATAGCAATGAGTGAATGAGAAGGTTTGAAAATAGCAATAGTAAAAAAAGAAATTTTACCGAAAGGAAAGAAAGCAAAAGAAAAGAAAAAAATTAAGGTAAGTTGGAAGTGGTATGTACATGATTAGTGAAGTAAGACGGAATATGATAAGAAATGACGCTGGTGCCTTGTGTGGTTGTAAGCTTCTGCGGTCTGGTGTTGTTTTTTTTTAATTTTTTTCTTTTTTTTGTCTTTCATATTTTTATTAATCTTTTTTTGGTATTTTTTTATTGTATTGGTATTTATCGATTCTTTTTTTTTTAATTCCGCACTATTACAAGCTTACTTATGTGGAGGTTTGATGGTAAACCTCTGGCGCCGAGGCTGTCGTAGCAAGAAGGTGACTCATTATGTCTAACTTTCATATTAGACCAATGCTCCCTTCCTCCGCTTCAACAGAACCTAGCAGTCATGTTAAAGGCAATCATTATACCAGCGTATGATAAGGAGCAGGGTAAAAAAAACAACAGAAGAAAATGGGAAAGAAGGTTAAGATTTCAAAATCGGTGTAAAGGTACTACAAAAGCTTGTGCGAAATCAATGCGAGGAAAAGTGGTGCAACTTGGAAGTAGTACGTTAGAATGAGATAAAACAAAGGAAGTTTCTACCCTGTGAGAACTTATAAAATTACAGAGAAGTTAGTACATAACCAATAGCTATGAGTAGTTATCATTACCAAAATTACTTTGTTCATGTTGCTAAGTGCATAACTAAGATGATGCATAATGTTTATAAGTACGGTTCACAAAATAAATGAATTGCAGGAGGGCATAAACCCGAAGGAATATAGTACAGGCTGTGAAAATAAATTGAGCGGATTACTATGTACAGCATAGAAGTGAAGCATTTATGCGCAAAAAAATATGTATATCTGTCCATTTAACTATACAGTGGAAGTTTTTTTTTTGTTTTTTTTAAAATAATCTTTTTTTTATTTAAAAAAATTTTTTGTTTATTTATTATTATTTTACATTTTTTTACTTTTTTGTATTTTCTTTTTTTTTAAATTTTTTTTAATAATTAATTTTTTTTTTTTTTGGAAGAAAATGGGCAGTGAAAGGTAATATACTGTTCATAATTCCTCTTTTGGTGTGGGTTACAAGATGACATGAGAAGCCAACTGATCTAGCGAGTAGATTGAGATGAAATAGATGAAAAATTAGGGGTAAAAACAAACTGCTGCTGGTCCTCTGTAACGAGAGATAAAGATTAAAAGGATTAGTGAGGGTTAAAACGACTACTCCCAGAAGCGGGACCAAATAGATTAAATATAGCAGAATTGAATAAGAAATTGTGACAAGGAATAAAAAATCACTAGTAGCATTACCTATGGATTAGTTCAGTGAAAGAATTCTACGAACCTCTTGGGCCAGTGAACACGTCGACCAGCACGTGTGACAGGGGTCTTACTGGTGACGGTAGGAGAATCATCATTCACCACCGGAGGTGAGGTAGTTGAGTCTGGACAAGGACTAGGTTCAGTGGGGCTATTTGATTGAGCCGATGGGGAGGGTGAAGGTTCTTCAGTGTATGCCGCTTTAAGTCTGTCTATGCTGACAGTGTCTGGGCGGCCGCATCGGTCAATAACGAAAAATTTATCTTTACGACTAAGGACCTTAAAAGGCCCGTCATACGGTGGTTGTAATGGCTTTCGTATGGCGTCGTGACGCACGAAAACGTGTGTACAGTCATCAAGTCGCCGATCAACCTGAACCTTTCGGTTCTGAGTGCGTGTGGAAACTGGTCGGAGTCGCTGCATAAAACTTTTAAGTTGCTGAGCGTAACGGGTGGTATCGGGGAAATTTGGCTCGAAAGTTTCGGGAGCGATTAGCTCGCCTGGTAAACGCATGGTGGTACCGTACACCAATTCAGCTGGCGAGCACTGCAGATCCCCCTTAAGCGTAGCCCGGATGCTAAGCAGGACCAGTGGTAGCGAATCTGTCCACTTACTGTTGTCCACTGCCATCAACGCAGCTTTGAG